GATACCCCTTCTGTTGCAAATCACTATCCCAAGAAGAAATATTTTTAGTGGAACCCTCTTCCCAGGTTAACTGCTGGCAGTAAATATTATGTTCCCATGCTTTTTGATGTTCTCTAATACTGTATCTTTAAAGTGCTCAGAACTTCCATGGAAGAGGGTGGGAAGGGTGAATTTGGGTGATTTTGCTCGTGTCATGTTGTGCTGATGCTGTTTCCTCTGGTGATGCTTGCTAGTGTCATGTTCTGAACTGCATCTTAGCATGTGATCTTAAACTAGCTTGTTGGGGTGTCTCAGAGTGCAAGCACTTCATCAGTTCGATTCGCTTGTACTACTCTTACTCCCCGCACCCCCAAGTCTTTTGGTGTAGTTTTGAAGTTACTATAATGTCTCCTCATCTGTTAACGCATATGTAAGTGTCATTACCCTTTCTTGTTTTAATTGAAAACTGTATGTAATATAAAGTATACTACAATAGCTGGCTTCATGATCTGAGTAATTTTGAGTGTCATGTATGCTGGGAGTCCTTGCCAGGATCTGCTTTCTCTCTATCTCTTTGTAGGTGCATGTATTTTGCAATGGCGAAACGAGTATCTTGCCTCTTTTGCATCATTAATTGAGGTGGGGGTGGAATACAGAGTTGATTAGCTGCAGAATTCTAAGTAATGGCTTGGAGGAAAGAAAAATGGCAAAAAGCTTACTAAATGCAATGGCAGTCTTCCCTTCCTCCTCCTCCTCTGCTGCAATCCTTACCTGACCCTGATGCTGCAGCAGAGAGCTGGCCTGCTATTGCTGCTTCTTCTGAGTGAGTGCAGAGCAGATAGGAGGGAGCAGGATGAGATTGTGCTTCACAGGTCACCGAGAGGTTGCACAAGTTGCTGTCATTTTCTCCTCCCCGCAACAACCCCCTTAATTTTTTTGGTAGCTGTGTTAACCTCCGTTTTTTAAGTTTAAAAAATTTACGTTTATGTGTAAAAGAGCCAAAATGAATTTTTCATTAATTTCTCAAAAAAAAAAAAAAAAGTCTTCAGATTGTATTTTGTGAAATGCTTTTTGGATACTTCTGTAATAACTTTTAGTTTTGTTTCTTGGGGCGGGAAGCATAGCTTTTTTTTTTTGGTCTTTCTGACTACACAGCTTGTTTTCACAATCTGGATCACTTGGAAATAATTCCAGATACTAGTTCAGTCTAAAGAAGACGTTATTACAGGATTATAGGATTACTGATGACACCTAAGAATGACATGTTCAGTCAGTACATTCTTTAATTAGAATCAGCTGTACATTAGGTGTGTTCTTTATAAAGGACTATTTGCATTCATTCTAAATCCCAAGCTGCAATTTTGCAACGACTTTGTATTTATCTGATAATTTATGACTTGGGTAGAGGGACAAGCCTTGACTAGAGATGGTTTTTCACAGTTTAAAGGTAATATGTTATACTTACCCCTCCAAATGCTTATGTTCTGCAGCTCTTCAGTAGCAGGCTTGTTAACAGACTTGGTCAGTAATATAGTGCAATTAAATGTTCTTATATCCCAAATCAGATACCATAGAGTGTAGAAGCCCAAATATGACATAGAAAGACCTTAATGACTGTTGACATAAAACTTGGAAGTGATCCTGTGCACTTAACATTCTGGAAAACCTAATCTGTGATTGGATGGGTACCGTTGAGGGTTTGATTAGAAGTTATCCGATTACAAGGGGAGGAAAAAATAAATAGATGTGAGTGCCTGCTACTAATTTATAATCACTTTCAAAAGTTGGTATTGCCTCCAGATCTGTTTGGGTAAGCATCACACTTCTTGTGTTAAATGATGTATGACCACCTCTTTGTGGTTTTGGTGAAATTAAGTTCTAAAATTAGAAACCTGAATGTAATTTTGTGTGTCCTTTTGTGTTGAATCTGGAAAGTTTGTTTCTAAAGCGGTTTGTTTTGTCTTTATCTGGTCACTCAGCATGTATGTATCTCTCTATTGCCAATCTTGGATCACTCTGTCTTAACTGGATTTATGAAAGGTCTCTTAACTTACAGCTCCAGGATCACTGAGCTGAGTTATATTGCTGGCAAAGATGTTTGTTGTTAAGAGGTATTCTGAATCTTATGTGTAGTAGATCTTGTCATATCAGCTGTGGAGATCAGGGTGCTATACCCCAAGTACATATGCAGTCAAAGTGGCAGAATAACAGAGACTCTATGTTGTGGTAAAACAATTCCAAAATTGGATTGGATGAGCTTTGTGTGGCTTCCTAAAGCAGAATGAACTTAGATGCTGTTGGAAGGTGTGAGTTTAAGATGTCTTAATGTTCCTCTTGAAATACTCTGTCCTGTGTGTTGGAAACTCCATGCTCTTGCTGATACACTCAACTAGTGTTGATTTAGTAGGCACTAATATGCAGGGGGTTGTATTACACATAGGGAGTTTTAAGTAAATAAGTAAAAAGATAGTTCTGAATCTATATTGCTCTGAAATTCCTGTACCAAGCAGCAGACTTTACCTGAAGATACAGGTTTATGCTCACCTTTTGCCACAGTCACTGGCCAGTAAAAATTCCTGTAACCCACAAGTAACAGTGTTTATACTGAAATGTTTATTGGTGTCCAGGTGCTCGAAACAGACCTTGCACTGTGTGTTGCGGAATTTAATGGAAGTGATGTGGTTGCTTGTATGAAACTTAATACAACAGTAGTGCAGCAGGTTTAAAAATGAGGCAAGTACGTCTGACTCGGCAAATGCAGTGTTCAGCATTTAAGTACTGACTCTTCACAAAGACTCGTAGTAGGACAGCCTAACTAAGTAACTTCTAAACTTAAAAGTAGCTTTCTAAGAATGTGGGGCTATGTATGTAGCTACAGAGAACTTCCAAATCTATAGCAGAGTGTGTAAAACAGTCTGAATGTGAGCCTCCACCGTATATAAAGTTCTGCTTTGTTGTGTTTTCAGTGTCAGAGTCTTGAGAGAATTTGTAGGATTCATAGTACTATGGAAGCTTTTTTCTTTCCTATATTTTTCTGCATTTTGCAGCTACAGTGTTATCTTAGAATTATCTGAAAAAAGTGAAACCATGCTGAATGGCTTTTGCTAGCTAAGCTGTCTGTTTACAGAACAAGTTACCGTTTTATTATAAATACTCGAAATTAACAGAACTGTTATTGAATATAACTTGTATGAGTACAGACTGGAAGCAAGAAACAGGATCAAATCTATGCAGATCGATAGGGTTCAGTATGAGAACCAATCAAACATTCTGGCCTGCATTTGTACCAGGAATGTGTCTTTTCATTCTGGCAGTCAGTTGAACTTTCATATTTGTAAATCTGAAAATGCTTAAGCTTCAACCAAACCTAAAGAATGACAGATTAATAAAACAAATTGATTAGCAGTTCTGCTATTTGGGTATAGAAGAATTTTATATTCACCAATAACCAGCTGCTTTTTTGTTAGTAATCCTGTTGTGTAGGGATAACAATGTGTGAAACATGATCTGGAGTTTATTTTAGAGGGCGCGTAAAGGGAGGAGAAGGTATGGGACCAAAAGTGGTTTTTATACTCGTTCTCTTCACAATTACAGAGGAATCTTTTTAACAAGTTGAAAATAATTTAGTTTATTGCATAAGTTCTGGGGTTTTTTCCTATTTATGATTTACTCAAGTTTTACTCATGATTGAAATGCAAGATGACTTGAATAGATTAATGAAAATGAGGTCCAAGACTTGTGTAATCATAGATATTATTGTTAGTTATAGGCTGCTTGCCATGGCTTTATAGTGTAGTTTCAGATGAACTCTGTTTCAGACTTTTGCTGTGAAACTGGTGAATCTTCTGCCGTACAAGACAACCCATTTATTGAGAATGAAGATTTTGCCTTTCTGTTTTTTATTTATTTTCCTTTGAAGTGAAGTAATTGTACAATTCTATTAATGTTTTCAAAAGTTCTCCTTTGCATTTCATGACAGAAAAAACTTAATACCTCAAATATATTTATCTATTCATTAGGTGACTACTGTCTTAGTTTAATTTGTGTAGTTTTTTTAATATTTTTTTTCATATGTTGTCCTGCAGAATGAATGAACTGCTGAGGAAGGTGTTCTTTGAGTTTTCTTATATAAGTTTTTGTAGCCACTGAATTTTCTATTGGAATGATATATTCCATAATTAAATAAAGAAAATTGTTTGTTACACTGAGTCACCAAAACTTACTTTGTCAATATGATTTCTTTATATGTCATCATGCTGACAGTGTATTTGTGTGAAAATGCTTCCTGTTACTTCATTTTCATTTCTGTTCATAAGAGTTTGTATCAAAAATGCATGCCCCTCTCCTGCACACCTTAGAATGAGAAGTGCCTTTATGATTCCTTGCTGTATCGTGGGGTACCTAGGTATTAATGAAGGATGTAATACTAGTAATTCAGTTCTGATATTTTGAGTTTGATTTTTCTGAGTTGTATAGTCAACATATGGCATGACACTTACAGACAGCATACCGTAAGAAATGGCAGTGGTTAATAATCTGGTGTTAATCAGTTGGGGGTTGTTTTTTGTTTGTGGTTTGTGTGTTTTGTTGGGTTTTTTAGTGCATGTATAATCCACGCAGATAGTAATTTTCTTATACTAGTGGGTTGAGTAATTTTCTTATACTAGTGGGTTGAGAAATGACTTGTAGGCAGTTTGTGTTAGAGAATAGTTTCAGATCTCTGGCTGAACAGAAATTGTCCAATAAGTCAGTAGTAGATTAAGTGTTGGGATGATGGAATTTAAGAAAACTTAAGTGCACTGAATGTTGTGAGAAGTGGAAGGATTTTATGACTTGTTTGGTGTGGGGTGGGAATTGGCAAACATTTCGTATAATCTCACAAAAATTTTTTGCATACTGCAGCATCTACAGTATGAATGCGTGTCTGAATGCATTCTGTTTCTTTTTACTACGTCAGCATTAACTGTATTCTCTCCCTGCCTCTTCTTTTTTCCTCTTCAAAGGTCACAACAAACTTTCTTGTAAGGATGTACCAGTATCATCACGAATGAATCCTTTCTACCTTTCCATAACAGTAAAGTAATTGGAAGTTTCGGTCAGCAGATATTTCCCTCCTTTTTCCAGCTCTTCAGGATGGATATTTTTGAGATGCCTCCACACACTGCTGCTGTGTGTGGAATCCTTTGATTTGGGCTTGAGGTGTGAACAACCTCTGAAAGATCTGCTAAAAGGATAAGGAGGAACCTCTATGGGTAACCCTTGGCTGGAAACAATTACTGGTCAACCATGGTAAAACTTGCCAACCCTCTTTATACGGAGTGGATTCTTGAAGCTATACAAAAAGTTAAAAAGCAAAAGCAAAGGCCTTCCGAAGAGAGAATATGTCATGCTGTTTGTGCTTCCCATGGATTAGATAAGAAGACTGTTTCGGAACAGTTGGAACTTAGTGTTCAAGATGGTTCTATTCTTAAAGTTACCAACAAAGGCCTTGCGTCCTACAAGGACCCGGATAACCCTGGACGGTTTTCAGCTGTTAAGCCTGGCACTATTCCTAAATCTGTTAAGGGATCTAGAGGAGCTTGTAATGAGCTTCGTAATGTGGATTGGAATAAACTCTTGAGAAGAGCAATTGAAGGGCTTCAAGAACCAAATGGCTCCTCCCTGAAAAATATAGAGAAGTATTTGAGAAGTCAAAATGACCTTGCGAATATTTTCAACAATCCTGCCTTTCAGCAGAGGTTGCGTCTGGGGGCCAAACGGGCTGTGAACAATGGGAGATTACTGAAGGATGGACCTCAGTATAGATTGAATTATGGCAGTTTGGAAAGCAAAGGAGCTCCAAAATACTCCAGCACTTTCCCATCTTCTCTTCCACCTGTCAGCCTTCTACCCCATGAAAAAGACCAGGTAAGTCTGAAAAATGAGAGCAAATGTAGTAGTGCAAAAATTATTCTTGTTGTTCTTTGTTTATTTATCTAATGCAAAAATAATGATTCTTCTTGTTCTTTATTTGCCCATTTAAATGTACATAAGTGAGGATGCATATCAAAGATCCATGCAGAATCAGTTCTGGTAAAGGAATTTTACTTAACTCCCTATGTCCTGCCATTCTGTGTTGGATAGTTTGCTCTTTGGATTTTCAGTAGTTAAACAGAGCAGCAGGGAAGAGTACAGCTGTATGTTCTCTTCTAGGTGTGAGATTGTTCTGTCTTGTCTGGCAGACCGGTGTTGCTGAAATCTCCTGTGTGATTTGATTGTGGCCTTTTACCTTCATTTTAAGCCTGGACATACTGATTTTCTTTTAGTTTGAACACTACCTGAAATACTACCAGTAGAACTCTTGATATTTTAAGACTGTTAGAATTACTATTTTTAAAGGCATTTGTTTGTAGATACATAGCTTTAAAACTACAGTTAATAGGAACTGGAGTTAATGTAAATATTCTAGGAATATAAGTTAAGGTGTCAGAGTGACAAATTGAGCTAAACTGCAGAATCCTTTTTCAGTTTTGTTGGACTTCCTATATGGGTTTATTTTGCTATTGCTTGGGCCTTGTTTTCAGGTTAATTATTTACACAGTTTAAGCCTCGAGGGAGAAGGGGGTGTGAATTAGTGTTTTCTTTATGAAAAGATAGCGTCAAAGACATGTCTGTAGGCATTCTTTGATGTTCCCCATTTAGTATGGTTAAGTGTGTTTTGAATTTTCATTGTACTTGTGGGGGTGTGGAATCTATCTGCCCTATTCGAATTGGGTTACTTAGAATATTTGTAACTTGGTGGTTTGGTTTTCTTTTTTATTCTTTTCTCAGTGGCAGTTCTTTTTGGCATGGAATGACCCATACAACTTTGCCTTTGTAGAGGTGCCATTAGTGTCTCCTCCTAGGAACTGCATGATGGTTTTTACTTGCCTTTTTCCTGCAGTTGATTGTGAGGTGCTGGAGGGTGCACAGTAGAAAGTACTTGTGTTAGAAGTATTTAATGAAGTCTACAAGAACACTAGTTTGTGGAACTGTGAGAGGTGACACTACAAATGTTGGTAGCTGTAGATTGATTTTTTTGTGTGTGTGTGTGCTTCTCTAAATATGTATTAAATATGATTGCTTTTATATGTGGATATCTTATTTCTGTCAGATTGGACTTATCAAGTATTTGAAGGATGCATGAAGCTTCACGCTCAGTAATCAGAATGCAAATTCAGAAGTGTTGCTTACTGTGATTACTGCTGTAGCCATACATTATAAAGATTTAATTACTTGTAGTGATAAAGCTGTCTGTTATTCAAGTACTTTCAGAGATTCTTCTGTAATTCTGATACTCTAGTGTCATGAAAAATTTGAAGACTGGAGTACTGAGGAGCCGAAATAGTTTAATACTATGATGCTTCATATGAATTCGATGGAAAGAAAAATCTCCCTTGTTAGGCTACCAGCTGGGACTGGCATCCATTGCAAGCAATGTTAGTTGGATTATGGTGCTGAAAAAGCCATTACTACCATACTAAAATGCTGGTACAAGGATAAATCTGTGTTTTAGAAGTTAGCCAAACAAATCTGTTCTGTAGCAAGTGCTTTGGCAAGAAGTAAGCTTTCATTTGGGTGCCTTAAAATTAGCAATGTGACTTGTGTGTTTAAAAACTGTTTGGCATACGCTTTTTTTCTTGACAAAAATAGTTTTGATGTGAGGTTGGTGAATCAGTAGCTGCGTATCAGTGTAGTATACTCCTTAGTTCTACTAGTTGTGGCACAGGTTAGTGGGCAAATATATATAGACTTGGTTTAAATATGGGATTTTTGCTGGTCTTGAAGCTGTATGGCTTTAAATACACTTAAAGGACAGTTTGACTGTTAACTGTAAATAGGAGTCTGTTATTGGGATGTGACTGCATGTTCATTTGAAGTTGATGGTAGTTCATGAATAAGCAGAACAACACTGCAGGAAAACTTCGCCTGTTTTTATTGGAAGTATGGGGCATGTCAAGATTATTTATTGAATTGTATAAAATAAAATTCAGCCAACTGGCATCTTGGGAATGCTAGTCTTCGAAGAGATTAGTGTAGTTTAAAGTTTCTTTGGCTGGTTATATAGCTAGCACAAGTAAGAGTTGCTTTTTTGTTTGAGTGGCTGTTTTTGATGGTTGGAGGTTTTTGTTTTTAAATACTTGAGGTGAAGGTCAAGTATGTCTTTTGTTGACTTCCCTTGAGGAGAAGAACAGGAGGATGTGCAGAAATCTGTTCAGATGACTGCAGAAGTTTGAGTAATTTTGCTGGTTTTAGTGCGTAATTAATGTCTCGTCAGGATGAGACAGTTACAAGATTTAGTGCATTACAAGTGTATGAGAGCGCTCTTTTTGGCAATCTGAACTTCACACTCACAGTACCAGATGCAGACTCTGAACCCGTTTTGCTGGGTACTCCCTGTGTGTGGTTGGGTTATTTGTGGTTTTTGTTTTAGTGTGGGTGGGTGGGGGATTTGGTTTGGTTTTTTCTTCTCTCCCTCCACTCTTCCCCCCACCCCCAGGCATCAGAGTGTCTAGTGCACTGAGAAGACAGATACTGTTGCAATGCGGTGCCACTGAAATTGGTTTTGCAGACTTGGAGCCTTGACTATGTTATGGAAGTGTTGAGTGTTTTGCATTCGATGAAATAGTCACGAGGAACAGGGAGCTGCAAGTGTGAAACTTTCCTCCTGGTCTTGGTGATATAGAGCTGCTTTTCTTGTCTTCGTATTAACTGGGTGATCCAATGCAACTAGATCTAGTCCTCTGATTTCATTAGGTGTAGAAATAGCTGCAGTTAGTTACAGCAATACAGCTTGTATTGCTGTGTTTCCTCCTGTTATCTGTATCCATATTGGCCTGGAAGGAAGCATTTGTGTAAAAATGGTACGTTTCCTTCAAGTGTTATCCTGACTCTTCTGGATTTGGGTGAAGATGTGCCAACTCTGAGTTACAGGAAGAGGAAGTATGCAGTGCAGCTGTTTAAATCTTCTCTCCTCCACCTCTTTCCATTCCCTATTGTGTGTGGCAGATTGCTTTTTCACTTCTGTATGAAGAGATGCAAGCACAAAGCTCGTAGGAAGGACATTCCATTGGAAGGTCAGCGGCTGTCATCAGCTATACAGTGTCTAGGCTGTACATCATATAAAGTGTAATGAGTAATATAAATAGCATTTCAAAAGGACATCCCAGTTATCCTAAATATTCTTGTGGTTACATTAAAGTAGTTGCTTACTTGATGTGGACAGGTAACGTGAATCAAAGCACTTCAAAAGATGCCCGTTTTAAAAAGTTAAATTGGTGTGTTAAAGGACCAGCCTCCAGCCAGAGGTGAAGCCTCCTTAACGGTGAAGGGAAACTGAAAACAGTGGTGTCCTTTTGGATGAAGACTTGTAATGTTTTTGGGTTTTTTTTTTCTTTCCTACAATTAAAAACAACCCCTCCCCACAGACAAGAAAGCAGAAAAGGAAATTTGTGCTCAGTAGTTTGATCTTTTGCAGTGCATAGTTTTAACAATTTAACTGCTCTTACGTGTTCCTTGTGTTCAGAGTATCTTGCATAGATATCTTCTCTCTTGTGCTTCACACCTTCTCACCCAGCATCTTCTAGAAAGAGCTGTATGAGTATGTTAATCAGAAAATTCAGTGTAAAAAATGATAATATAGTAGGAGAGGCTGTGAACAGAGAGGAAAATGAACCTGAATATGTTGAGTGATACTTAGCTTTTCAATAAGCCGTTGATGCATTAAAATACAACTCTGGAAATGTAGCAGTAAAGTGGTATTTAAAAGTTATGGTTAGTCTTTAAATGGGTGTTTAATTTATCTTTAATTGTCAATTGCAGAATGGCAGTATTGGTGGTGTTTTCTGTGGGCGTGTGCTGTGTTGTTCCTCGTTTTTCTTGTCACTTGGACAAGCGCTAGGAAGGTTCTGCAGTTTGGGAACTGCATGAAACCTACTAGATCTTGGGAGTTAGCCTTCTCAACAAATGCTGTGTGACTGTGAACCTGAAGCAGCAGATGTTTGTAGGCTGTAGACAGCTCTTTATTTACTTCCTCTTAAACATAATTGAAAAGGATAAATCCAGCTTTTAAAGGTGAAGAGGCAATGGCCATTGTAACATTCTCAGAGGACTGTGGGAATGTATAGTATATGTCAGTAGTTACATCGTTGCTATGTTCAGAATAATTACTAAAGTATACTTTGAAAGATGCAGTGCAAATGGAGATGACTTGATCCATACTGTGCTTTCTTGGTTCTCCCAAGCACTGTTTTGAACAGCTCAGCAACTGTATTAGTAGTTGTTTCCATCTGATTCTTGGCATGAAAGCTTTTTATTTATCCCCCTTTCACTTTCGGTTTGTCTTTCTAAGCTGACTTTCATTCAAAACCCAACTTGTTTTATTAATTTTTCATACTTTGATCTCCTATCTAATTTTGTTTTCACTGGCCTACGTACATTTAGCTTTTCAAACTTGGCATGGGCTGAATTTCAGTTTTCTGGTATGCAGCTTGTGCCAGTGCAGACACTGGGTGTTCCTCCTTCTGTCTTTCAGGCAAAGGGCCAATCTATAGAGAATTGCTTTTTTGGCATTCAGGCTCCTCCCTGCTCAGTTTTTCAGCTTACTGCCTTCCTGTGGGTAGGCAACAAGAGGCTCTTGGCTAAGATTTCTTTGCTTGCTCTACCTTGTTCCCTCTGACCTCTAGACTTTGCACTGAGTAGAAGCAGGAAAGTTAGTCAGAAAGGTAGTGCTACACCATGTATCTTACTGATGTACAAGTAAGGGGATATTCATAATGCCTAACTTTGGAGCTGGCTTTATGTGGAGTCTGTGCTCCTGAGAGTGAGTTTGAGCACCAGAATGCTGGGATAGGTAAGTTTCTGTAAGAGAGGTTCTGTAGTGCTACAGT